TTTACTGGAAAATGAGACCTTCCCATACTTTGGCTCGTTCAAGATTAGCAGAGCATAAAAAAGAAAAGGCGCATGTATCAATATTATGTGCTGCAAATACAAGTAGAACTGAAAAAATGAAACTTGCCTTTATTCATACTCATAAAACACTATGTTCCTTATGAAATCTTAACTATGCTACTCTTCCCATTTACCATTACTGGAACAAAAAAAGCCTGGATACAAGTTAATATTTTTAATGATCTTCTCTTCAAGCTTAACAATCAAATAAAACTAAGAAATCGGAAAATTATACTTTTAGTCGAAAATGCACCAGTGCATATTGTTCTTGATGAAACTAAAGCGAAACTAGATAATTTGCGCGTAGAATTTCTTCTAGCAAATACGACCTCGATTCTCCAACCCTGCGATGCAGGAATTATCAATTCGTTTAAGTGCCACTATAAAAGTCTTTTTGTCCAAAACAGGATTAGTGCATATGATAATATGCAAAATGGAGTAGAAAATGAAATAGTCCCGTACAATATTTATGAAGCCATAGTTAATGCATCCGAAGCATGGTCTATGGTATCACCAAATACAATTAGATATTGCTGGTGAAAAACTGGTATTCTTCCATATGATGGTTCCGAAGAATCCAAAGAACTTAATGAACTTGATCAAGACAGGTAATTAGTAATAGCAGAAGTAGAGGTGTGAAAGTAACGCTGTAATGGCATTAAATTCACACCTCTACATTTTTAAAGGCTTATACTTATTAATATTAACTGTTAATTTTCAACTTTTGATATATCAATAATTACTGCTGTATTATAAAACATTTTTATTAAACAAAAAAAATCTTAGTGATATAGATGATGAATCAAAACTTGCAGAACTAATTGGCTGCTTATCAACAGATGATTCTCTTACCACATACGAATATATTCATGCTGAAGACGATGAGGTTAAAGGCGGGTTAACTGAAGAAGGAATTTTGGAGATTATTGAAAGTAAGAATAAGGAAGAAAGTGAGAAAGAAAAAGAATTTATTGAACAAGAGAAAGTTAGCTACACGGAGGCAAAATTTGTATGAACAAAACACTAAGATTTTTATATGAACAAGGTTGTGAGTTTGGATATGTTGAAGAAGAAGTAAAGATTCTAAGAAAATTGTACAAATGGGTTCAGTTAAATGTTGTAAAAAATCTCAAACAAGTTGATCTCCATCACTATTTTCAGAATACGGAATAGAAGTTTTTTTTTTATTTTGTATATTGTAGCTGTACGTATATACCTTAGTTTAGCAATTCGTATTGTATTATGTATATTAATCTATGCTTTTTATATTTGAAATAAAACTTATCATTACTTATCTGGTATAAAAAAAAAATTGCAATTATTGATCACGTGTATGCGATTTTATTGGTTAGCTATATATACCGAACCGTTCAGTATAGAGAGCAAACTATATAAAGTGAACTCACTCTATACCGAACAAAATCTCTCAGAACATGCAGTTCAGTATAGAGAGAGTCGACTGTACTATAACTTGTGCTAGAAACTAAAAATTTTATATAAATAACTAGAAAATATTTGTATATTTTATTATACTTTGTTTAACTTTTTTAATTAAATCTATATCATTGCTTAAAAATATAAAAACTTTGAAACTTCATATGGTCATCACTATTTTTTGATCTTTTAGTAACTGTATATTTTAAATAATATAACATATAAGATATTCTATCAGAATACCTGATCTGGTTACTAAATTTACTAGTACTATTTATTTTATATATATTAATTTATTATCATATAGTTTTTCAATATAGAAGTAAAACAATATTGATTTTTGAAAAGGGTTTGCTAAATTTTTTATTTTTTGTTAAAGATATAGTTAAAAGTATCAAAAAAAAATATATCTTATATTTGTAAATATTTAAAACAGAAAAAGTATTTCTAGTTATTGTTCATTAAACTTAAAGCTATTAATACTTAAGTCAGAAGTTTTTTAATACTATTGCTACCAAAATAAACTTTTTGGCTTGGATGCTAAATATGCAAAAAGAAGTTTACTTTAGAACAAAAGTTTAATTCTAAGAACAAACTAGCATAAATATATCTACTTCTTGGTATTTCATGTATAGAGCCTTATTAGCAACAGTATTTAGAAAGATCTACAAGTATTTTAAAACTTTTAGACCTTGAATCTTTAATTTGCTTTTAGTATAGTTTTGGTTCAAGTGATTATTAAAAAGTGCTGTAGCTAATATTAATAGTAAATCTCTATTTATATTTCTTCTAAATATTTTTTATATTATTTTAATATTCTAATTCTTATTCAAATTCTATTTTATATAATTTGTTTTTTTTTCTTAATAAGCTATTTAATAGATTGTATACTATAATATTTATTATAAATAAAGCTATTTTTTTGCTATATATTCTATTGTTAGATAATTAAATATTTATTTAATTAGAACAATTAAAAAATTTTATTTTTTTAATAATTACTATTTTCTTTTTTTAATTTAAAATTTATTATTATTTTTTACAAAAGTACTAAATAATTGATTACAATTAAGTTATACAACAATTAAAATTAGCTACAATTGTGATAAACAACAATTGTAAAACAATTAAATTGTGAATAATTGCAATTAATTGCAATTAATTGCTATTTGTTACTTTGATGTAATGAATTATAGTATAAAACAAATATAGTTTACTAATTAATTGTATTAGTTATTCTTTTAAAAATATCTCAAATGTAGATTTTCTCACCATTCATTTAAATATGATCCTAACAATACTCTTGACTAGTTTCAAGCTTTTCCAATAAACACTGAAGCAGAAAAACAAACTCAATTTTTAATATCTCTTGGTTTTCAAATTCTTGACTTTATTAAACTATTTTTTTTAAATTTCTATTCTGGTCGAATTATTCAACCTAAAGCTCCCAACCAACAAGCTACTAAAAGCAATTTTGATAATTTATTACAATATATGGCTTTTCAACAATTACAATTTCTTACTAACTTTATTTACCAAAATATAACTAATAACAACAATATCAATATATTATCTAATTATCTTCTGCTTATTCTAAGAGATATTCTATCCAACTTTACTACCATTCTTTTTACAAAACTTAATTATAAAAAAATATTTCATTCAAACTATTTTTTACCTCCTTATTCTATTCCTAAATATGTTCAAATTACAATTAATCTTGCTCATCTTTACCTTTTCCTTCTAAATCAATACAAAACTATTAACTATATTAAATTCTTTGAAGACTTGAATCTTAAACCTATTCATATATCACTTCATTTTAATACTACATTTAACAACTCTGATCAACTACTTCTTAAAATTAAAAATGATGCCAAATATAATATTTATATTACTTTTAACATTTTATCACAAAATTTTTTAAAAACCTTTTATATTCCTTCTTTTAAATCTTACTCACAATATTTGACTAATGGTTCTTAAAATTTTTTAACTCGTACAAACAACAATTCCTACATATTAATCAACAAAGTCTATAACTTTATTAAATATCAAATTATTACCTATCTTTCTAATGAACTTAAAAAACTACTACCAAACTCCTACCAATTTTCTATTGTTAACTCACTACAAGAAAGAACAAAGGCTTCAATTATAGTATCACTATACTATATCTATACTTGTACAAGCAACACATGTACTATTCTTCCTAATGATATTCCTTATACTTTTAAAAAAATTTTTTTTTTTTGAATATTAATAGATACTTTTACAAATTAACTTCACTTTATTTTCATAACTTATTTAAAACCTATATCTACCTTTACTTAAACTTTACTATTCTTTAACCAAACCAACCTCTAACTGCTACTTTCTCAAAACCTTTTCTATTCGAGTCTCTTAAAAAATTAGCTAACTCAGCAGAATAACAATTTATACAGCTTAATAATACTCTCACAAATCCTAAACATAAATCTTTTTTTTACTATACTTATTTTAAACACTATTTAATAGCTGCTGCTAAAAATGATAACATTAATTTTAGCCTTAAAAATGCTCTTCAAAAGACTTTTACTAAAACAAATAACCCACATACTCTCGCTAAAATTATATCCTATTTTGATATTATACAATTCTCCAATTTTCTAATTTCTCAAATTAAATACAAATATAACCAATCTTATCTTTCACAAACATTACAATATATCTCTAAAAAACTTAAAACCTCTAAAATTTCACCAATCTTTTTTTTTTAATGGAAATACCAGATGCTGAAACTATTAGAGCTGCTCTTTATCTAGCTAACACAAATCCTTTAGTTACTATATCTATTTGAATATTTATTCTCTCTCAACAATATAATATATTACTATTATCTTATAAATATTTAACAACCTACTTTTTCTACTATTACTAATTACAATCTATTATGTCTCATATTACTTTATTTATACACAAAATTATAACTTTGATACCTTACTTATACTATATTTATTTTACAACTACAGTCAGACCTCTCTAAGTGCACGCCCTTGGGACCACATTTTAATAACGTGCATATAGAGAATAATAAGAAAAAGTGTATTTATAGAGGTCAAGTATA